ATACAACATAATTCCATTGGAAATGAGATGCTTAATTCGGTGATTAATACTGCTAAATATCATATCAAGAGGATAACTAATTCAAGATTTTTGCTATAAAAATGTGGGTGTGATAAAAGCAAACACCTGTCTATTAAATTGTATATTATTCCAACTTTTTGGCATTGAAGGTGATTAGAAAAATAAGATAAAACTCTGCCTGAAAACGTTTCTTTTTGATGCCAATCAATATAAATTTTTTTATTCAATATTTTAATTGAGAGGTCTAAAAAACTCAAGCAACGATCCTTCTCCCGTTCTACCGTAAATTGCAGTCTCTCATGATATTCATTAAATACATTAACAATTCTTGTAACATCTTTCGCTGGAGCAGTCAATATTATATCGTCAACGTATCGAGAATAAAAAGAGAAATGTATGTCAATGTAATTAAAAATAAAATTCTCTAGATCTTGTATGACTATGTCAGCTATTATCGGTGATAATAGAGACCCCATAGGAGTTCCAAATGTTTGTTTATAAATTATATTGTTAAATGTAAAATATGTAGAAGTTAAGATAAACATAATAGCATTAATGAATTCATTTTGTGGTATATTTGTAAATTTGTTAATATGTATCCATCTTTTGTTAATGCTTTCTATTGCCAAATCTAGAGGTACAATGGTGAAGAAAGAGACTACATCTAGTGAAATCATTACCTCATCATCACTGATCATTTTTCCCGATAGGATGCTGCACATTTCAAAACTATTGCTAATATTCTTGATTGCGTGGTAAAGTAATATGTACCTAAGCAGCGGCGTGAATATTTATAAACTCATCGATTTAGTAGATTCATTGGTAAGAAAGTTTCATTGTATTATTCATACAAAATTTCTTAACATTAGTTATTAAAAAGAGTGTCATTTCATATAGAAACGTACAATAATTATGGGAAACTAAGACAATTCCACGCTTTCAAACGATGGAATTCCAAGAGTTTTTTCACCTTTAAAATCATCATTGGAAATAATCCGTATTAACATCTTAAAATGATCCAAGAACAATATAGCGATGTATTCAGCCTCAAAATCATACATGCTACACATCATTTAAAAATTATAATCGTTCGCATCATCCACACAATTCGGTTTATATGTATATAATTAATAGTATGAATTGCAATCGTTCGCATCGTCGAAATGTGTTAAAATTTTTATAATTGACTAATACTATATGACACCACTGAAGAAGACTGCGTACAGTCGAAACGTTTGATCTATTTGTTTAATATGTTGTAATTGAGAAGGAATAAATTTATAATATTCATCAACATCCTAATAATTTATGCTCGTGAGTTGGCCTGTTTTTATATTATTTTGCGATTTCTATTTTAATACTAAAGAACTTTTCTTGTCAGAATAAAGTATATTGTTAGGATTTTCAAACTTCAATACGAATTTTCAGTGTCGGTTATGATTTATAAGATATCCATGTTGAATATAGAGTATTACACAGGTTAGCTGTGACTTACTTAGGTTGACGAGTTACAACTAGGAGATGGATCTAATACTAGGAGATGGATCTAATATTTTAAATATCAGATCACATACCAAAGGACGAAAAGCCCGGATCTGAATGGGGTGTAATAACACATTCTGCTCAAGCTCCGGGTCTCAAAGAGGGGATAACTATTTGGAGAACGTATGCAGACATATTTATACAAATTGTATATAGATAGTTAGGGGGCTTTGTTTAATTAACTGGCCGGTTATTTGATTGGCTGGATAATTATATGAGAATGTATATATAGGGAGTTAAACTTAGATTAATTATTATACATACTACTATTCTAATTGATTATAATGTACATAGGGAGTCTGCATTTAAATTGACTATTATTAGCATATGGTTAATTGTAATGTACATATATACACACAGGAGTTGCACTACAATTGGTGCTAAGTGAAGGAGAGAGAGGGACGAATGTATCTCACAGAAGAGGGAGTGAAAAGGAGATGCGTGGATAACGCACCTAGGTTGGGTCTGCAAAAGTATTATGAGAAACGGTTCTTGCGGGTTCAACCGGCACAGAAGCAGAGGATAGCTTCTGGGCTTGGGCGTAGGTTTAGTGGGTAGGACTAGCTGAGGCTGTTGCCTTGGTTAGGATGCCTATGGCACCCGGGTCACTTTGGTAGCTCGGTTGCGTGAGGAAACTAACCACGGCGTGGTGCCTTAGTCACCAGGACACTGCAAGTCCAGGAGAATAGGTGAGTTCCACATAACCCGGTATGGCCGGCCTGCCGTGGTATGTGTAAATGCATTCCCCTGCCCAGCCGCCAAAGGCTAAATAAAAAAAAAGATTGACGAGTTACAGTTTTATATTGTTTTATTTTAAAGCTCTTTTAGGTCACTGAATACGAAATCAATGTAAAAATTGTCAAATTTAAAATGGTATTCAATATAGAGAATGTAAAAATTAAAAAAAAAATTTATAAATTCGCCATATTAAATTCACCATTTTGACAATTTTGACATTGGATTTGTATTCAGTGACCTAAAACATCTTTAAGAATAAATAAATATAATTTAAAACTGTTGTCAACCTAAATAAGTCACTTATTTAGTCATCTAACTTCTGCAATACCCCATAGTCAACTATGGATATCTTATAAACCATAATCGACATAAAGTATAACAAAATATAATAATATATACTTTACTTTGATGGCAAAAAAAACTTTTTTAGCACGTCACATATTATAGCTATCATATGACAAAGTACGTAAAAGCTCTCTTTTGCCATTTTAATTGCAAATTTCTTAAAATTGTGACGTGATGGAGCAATTTAGAAGTCGGATTCGTGTTCAGCGCCCAAAAAACTATAAGAAATGACTAGTCTCGTTTTGGTGTTCGAAAAAAGTCATTTTTTGTTGAACAATGTAATAATTTCAATTGAGAAATAAAAGTAAAAAAGATAATAGAAAAAGAGAGGCAACTGAAGGCGTTAACTGACAAAAGAGAACAATTCCTTTAAATAATTTTTTTTCCATTATTTTTTGCAGCGTATTATTTAAAATTTTACAAATTAAACTCGTAATTATAAAAGTAAAAATTTATAAAAAAAAACATTACGTTAACCATAACCATGATATATGTCAAGGTTGTAAAAGATTCTAAATAATCTTTAAATATTTTAATTGCCACTTTGTTTATTAACAAGTTATTAAAACAAATATAAGATTGATGATGCAAAATGATGAGTATTGAATGATGCGAATTTAATAATTTCCTCCAAATAAATTCTATATTATTTATGTATATATTTTACTTTATGCATATTTCTCGTAACTTATCTTAAAATTATATAAATATACATATAATTTGTGAATTAAAAACACACTTTTGCTGTTTTATTTTAATTCACCAATTCTACATAATTTATTGTTACATTTTCAACCATTCTATCGCTGTTTGTCTGTTTGATACAATAAATTTTCCTTAACACGATAATTTTCAAATATATTTATATAAATTAATTAATATTACATGTACAATAATGACATAAAAATTCTTTTCCTATTCTTATTCGTTATACATGTATATTGCACCAGAATTAGTAATACATATATGTATAAATAAATAATTATTATTTGTAATATATATAATGCATTAAATGTTGATTATACTTGCATTTATGAAATAGTAAATTTTTTTATTAATTTGGTTAATGCTTAAAAAATAATAGCCTTTTGATAAATAAAGTTTTAATATAGATAGATGTAAAGGGTATCTAATTTTATTTGATTTTTAAAAACTTTTACTTTTGATTGAATAAAATGGAAAAATTGAGAATACTTTATGAGATACTTTATATCTAAATAACACTAAGTTTACTGCTAACTATGAAACATAATAATTTATTTTTTCGACGATCTTATCTCAATACTTTTGTGTATAAAGTAATAAAAAGAATAAATTGGTGTAAAGAAAACATATAGTTAGTTATAAGAAAAAGTACGTAGCTGCTAGTTGTGAAGTATTGAGGTAAGATTAACGAAAAATTAATATTTTATGAGATATATATTGTATACTTTATGTAAAATTATGTTCATAGTTTATGTAAATTAAAGGATACAATATTTCGTAACCTATTCACATTTTGGCAATAATACCTCTATAACATTTTATAGTAAATATTAAGAAGAATCGATTTATATATAAAAAAGTAGTTCCATATTAAGTATAGTAGTTCCATTAAAAAAAGACATAAATATCTTTAAATAACCTTGAAAAACGCTCTCCAGAAAAGTCAATAGCGCTATCTTCTGTCCTTCTTCAAATTAAACAACTTTTACCTGAAACATTTTGTGCAGAATAATAAAAGTTTTTAGGGATGATTGATTAAAATTGAACATTTTGTATAGATAGGAAGGAAGAGAGACGGGGAGAGAGAGAGAGAGAGAGAGAGAGAGAGAGAGAGAGAGAGAGAGAGAGAAATTATATACATATATCTATAATTTTTTCTCATTTTACATAAATAGATTTGCTTTTAATAAATTTTTTAAGTTAAAGTCTGGTGTTATAAAACCTCCCTTTTACAACATAAAAAATTAGATAGCTGTAAATGTTAATGATATAGCATCTCTTAATATTTTTGTTAAGAAATAGTCCCAGAAAGTGGCGTAAGAGTTATATAATTATAGAAAAATTTAAAGATATTTTGTATTTCTCTATTACATATGTATATAAGTGTGTTCGATCGATTAATGGCTCTTGTGTCGAAAATTTCATTCAGACTAACAGCAAATATGGTAGACAAAAAGGGGGTGGCGAGAGCGAGATGGAAAGAGAGAACTGTACTTCAAAGCATGCCGGTTAGGGGCGCTACACCCTCGACAACATGGCTGTCGCGGCTTAATACTCCGTACGAGTCTTGACACATCCGGACATTCGTGTGTGCCGTGTGTTGCTCAGGGATCGCAGCCATTAGTGCGAACCAAAATAATCACGTGAGTACAACAAATAACGGCGATAATTTGATCCGACATTCACGGACACGAAAATTTGTGAAAGAAAACGCCAGCGAAAAATATATATTCAAATGGAACGAGAGGTATCCGATAAAGTACGGCTGCCTGCGTGCGCGTTGTGTATGTGTGTGTGCGTTTTCGTATACTTATGCGTATACAGTTACGTCAATATTTCGAAACGCGTGTCTACATCGACGATCAATATAACAATGGTGGAGGATGGAATGCTTCGACACACACGATGTATGCTTGTATTCTTATCCGATAAGGATGCTTCGTCACATTCAACTGTGTGTCATTATCATTCTATATTTGCACACTCGTATTTGCATAACCGTATGCTTCTATCTCTCATATACGTTATTACTGTCGATCGCATTTTGCATACTATTCGCTTCGCCAATGATATTCCACGAGATGTCGCATCAAAAAGGATAATGTCAGGACATTATCTGTCATCATCCACGTTGGATGATGAAATGCGCTAAACAAATTTTTACTCCGCGAGTGTATAATTTTAATTCGCCGAATTTCAATTATGTACATAACTCTAATTCCCGAATTTCTATTATACATATATATAATTTTAATTCGTCGTATTTCTTTTATATAAATAATTTTAATTTTTGATTTTCCATTATGTTCATAATTTTAATTCTTGAATTTCTATTATGCATATAATTTTAATTCGCCGTATTTCTATTATGTAAATAACTGAAATTGTACCTAATAAAATTTTTTTCATTTACAGTTAGAATTCTCCTTGACACAGCTTTATAAACTAAAGATATACAAAAGAAAAACAGAATAACATTTTCGTTTTGCACATTTATGCTATTAATATAAAAATATTAGACAAGGGAAATATTAATCTTTAAAAAATAATCCTAAAATAAAGCAATCGATTGATATAATACATAAAATTGGGTATCTAATTATCATATAAATTATAAAGTTCTGCAAGTATTTTACCCGAGAAGCAAGCTTTTGCATCGCCAGATTGAGAATGCAAACTATCGTTATTTGATTGTGAACAACTAAAACGTTTAATATTAATATTAATAAAACGTTTAGTATTAATATTATTGCTAATCGTACATAGCGATTTTGTGTTTGTATCATTCATTATTTCTATATTATTATTTAAATTTTCAATCATCTTCAAAATTTTGTTGTCAGTATAACAGTTATTGATTTCCTTTGTTATATTTTACATTTTACATAGATAATACATTTGTAATATTAGTAAATATTGATTTCAAATTTGATATTATATCTTATAATGGAAATATGTACATAATTTAAAAATCTAAATTAACTGAATTTCTATATATACATAATTTTAATTTACTGAATTTCTATTTCCTTTTCTAAGAAACTGAGAAACTATAATCGAAACCACTCAATCACAAAATTAATAAACACTTATTTATCAGATTTTAACTATTAAATACACCAAATCCTTTAAAATACATTATATACTGTCATTAATATACAATACATTATATATGTCACACACTATAACTCCTCGATACGTATACGTACAACTGTCAAAATATGCAATGACAGCCGCTCCCGAAGTAAACGTGACAGAATCAATCAGCATCGCGGAAAAGAGGCAACAATACATTCGAGACTTTCGAGAATCGACTTAACATGTCTTTTTCAGAAATGGATACTTTTCGGAGTATATTATATTGAGAGTAATTATAGAATTATATGTTCTAAATCAAATCATTTTACTCAATTGCAGCTTTTTTGAACAACTATGTGCACGCATGCATAAATTAATCTTTTTTTATATGTGGCACATTTATTTTAATATTTTTAACTTTTAAAAATAAGTTTATAAAGTAGTTTGGATTTAGGCATGTGTTCTATTAAAATAATCAACATACACTTATGAGCTAAAATTAAACAATGAAAATATTTTTTCTGGCTTTTTTTCATAAAAATTAAAAAAATTGTATAAAGATAAAAATATGGTTTGTATTGTTTTTGATCATTTATAACTTATATTATTAGAATTGTATAGACTATGTTCTGAACGTACATTATTGAATCTTTTAAACCAATTCTGATTATTTGCGAATATTTATTTTCTTCACTGTTTTCTTAATTTTTGTCAGTGCAGAGAGAGAGAGAGAGAGAGAGAGAGAGAGAGAGAGAGAGAGAGAGAGAGAGAGAGAGAGAGAGAGAGAGAGAGAGAGAGAGAGAGAGAGAGAGAGAAGAAAAAGCTACATAATTGTAGAATAAAATTTACTTCAAACTACAAGAAAAAGTTGAAAGACGATCAAAGTAATTTAACATATTTACTAAATCATTTTTATTAAATATATTCTTACTTCAATATTATGATAAAGATCAATTTTAATTCTTTTTGTTGGTCCCGGGAGTCGCAATATTTCAAAATCTTGATAATAAAATATAATTAATTAATAGTTTTGGCATTTATATATTTTTAAATTGAATTTACCTTTTGGCAAATGTAATTAAACTGGATTAAAAGAAATTAAATGTGTATAAAAATACATGTATATATTATATATGTATACATATGGTGTAAGTAATTACAAATACTTGGACAAACTTCTAGAATGTATTCTTTATGTTAAAAATAAAGAAAAGATATATTCATGGTAAAAAAATGAATAGTTATAAAGCTATAATAAAACAAAGTTTATATTAAATAATCATAAATAAACATTATTATTAAATAATCATAAATAAACATTTAACTCATAAGAAATGCCCAAAAGGATTACGATATTTTTTTCTTACACCAATTGATATATTTTATTATTCTCTGTAGAAAATTATTATGATAAGATTATCGAAAATTGAATATTACAAGATATTTCATATTTGTTTGTTAGAAAACGTGTCAGAATAAAGCATAAAATATCTTGTAAATCATTCATTTTTCAACTATTCAACTCTAACAATTTTTTACGTCAAATATTGTGAGAAATCACGCGGGGTGTGTTTGTGAATGAATGAGTGAATGAGAGTAAATATCAATAATAATAATATCATTAATAATAATACATCAAATACATATTTTTTATTCCTCCTACATTTTTGAAAACAAAGATAATTAATAGTAAAAGTAAATATTACTTTTGCGCGTCATATTAAAGCGAAACCTAATATTGAGCAACATAACGAGTTACAAAATAACATTTTTGGGCTCTCTCTCGATTTCACCGAACTCTTTTCTTTTTGGGCAAAGGCTTAAAGGCGAGATAAGCTACTTCACATCTGTAAAGTCGGTCGCAAATGCGCCAAGTCGAGTGGTGGTACGTCGACCGCTGATATCTGCAAACTCGGTCAGTAGGTCAATAGCAGATACATTCAATGCAGTTGTATCTTGTCGATATAGAGCAATATTCCCCTTCCATATCAATTCACCAAGCATTTATTTCAAAACCAAAATTTCTTTGATTTGTATAGATTGTTTTATTGTCAAGTTGGCTGGATACAATTTACACATCTCTCATTTTTTCCTGCTAATTATTTGAGCCATTTATTACTAAAACGATAAAGAAAACACTTCGATATTATAAACTTGATCATTTTAATAATAAAAATTATGCATAAATATATACGTAAATGTTTAATACTATTTTGTTTCCATAATACTGACATTTTTAAAAATTGATAATATTTGGTAAAATATTTTAGGCACATTTAAAAATACGAAGTGCAAATAACAATTTGAATGTTGTTTATAACAAATGCAAAAAAATGTGTTGCCTTGTAAATTAATTTATAGATAATATAAAAAATAATACAAAAGAATTACAATATGAAATACGAGATGCAATAAAAATGAGAACTTTGATCATCAGAAAACAAATAAAAGGAAAAAAAAAAATAAATTTCACATCTTTTTTCCATTTTAAATTATTATCAATCTAAAGAAAATAAATTATATTTATATTACATTTTTATCTTGTGCCTTTGCAATGTTTTTTAATTGTATATTCTTTTATATGTAATTTTATATTAATATACATTTTTATATTATTACACACACACACACACACACACACACACACATATATATATTATATATATATATATATATATATATATATATATTTGTAAAAAGTTAACAGTATCAGTTTGTGAGAAACAATATAAACAATCTAAATATAAAAACGGCAATTACGAGCAAGCGCTACGATGTTTAAACGCGTACCTTAATTAATATAAAATTAAAAATTTTCCATGAATATACAAAAACATTACAAAAATATCATTTTAATAACGTACGTTTCGGCACCTTTTTCTGGGCCATCCTCAGCGTAAAAAACTTAAAAACTAAATTTAATATAAACATCTATGATATATACGCAATAAAATTTAAAACGTTTAAAAATATAATCTGTCATCCGTTAATTATATGTATTTATCTATGTTGAAGTGTGATTACAGTAGCAATTCAATACCCGACAAGTAACGACAAGCGTCAATATATATATAAATTTCTGAATACCACCCCATTTTTTAAAGACACTGAAGTCAATTTGTCTTTCTTTAGTCTCAATAAATTGAGTAGCATTATCAAAGCTCATAAAGACGTTACTCCTATGTATGATAGTATAAATTTAGTATACAAAATTAATTGCATGAACTGTGATGCATCTTATGTGGGCCAAGACTAAAAGACATTTGAGCACAAGAATTAAGGAACATCAAATGAATTTCCGAAAAGCAGCTTCTGACCATTCGGTGATATCGAAACATAGATTAGAATTTAGTCATGATTTTAATTGGGAGAGGGCAGAAATTTTAGATATAGAGCCATTTTACAAAAAGCGATTAACCTCTGAAATAATTCACATAAAGAGACAAAAAAATAGTATTAATCTACATACCGATACGGAATGCTTAAATAAAATTTATTTGGGTTTGATAAATAGGATGACAAAAATATGATGGTAAAGACATCGTTAACCGTTGGTTGTTTTTGTAAATTTATGTTGATATATATGATATTTAAATGTTTAGAGGTAAAAATATGTATACATTTTCCAAGACATATACACTCGCTGTTCTGTATGTTTTGGCTCAGTCGTTTTAGTGACATTAATTGTTAAACGTCTTCTGACTGCGATTTACTTTTATATCAAGACGAAATGTTTCGAGAATTTTCGTTCAACGTCCGTCTGTTGGTATGGTTTTAATTTTAATTTTATGGTTTTATTTTTAATCATTTGTATTTATTATGGATCTAATTTTAAATCAGGTTGTTGGTTTTAATTTCAAATTATTATAACTTTATAATTTTTTTTTTTATTATTTTTTAAATTTGATTTTTATCTTACAAAAGTTTTTTCTTTTTCGTTTATACTGTTAGTCGGCCAACAATGGACGGGTGGAATTCAGAAATTCATATATATATCGACGCTTGTCGTTACTTGTCGGGTATTGAATTGCTACTGTAATCACACTTCAACATGGATAGATACATATAATTAACGGATGACAGATTATATTTTTAAACGTTTTAAATTTTATTGCGTATATATCATAGATGTTTATATTAAATTTAGTTTTTAAGTTTTTTACGCTGAGGATGGCCCAAAAAAAGGTGCCGAAACGTACGTTATTAAAATAATATTTTTGTAATGTTTTTGTATATTCCTGGAAAATTTTTAATTTTATATTAATTAAGGTACGCGTTTAAACATTGTAGCGCTTGCTTGTAATTGCCATTTTTATTTAGATTGTTTATATATATATTTGTGTTCTGAATTCTCCATTGCAATACTTCCCATTTTTAGGTAACACCCTGTATATATATATATATATATATATATATATATATTCATATTGATATTTATATACACAGGGTGTTATCTAAAAAATGAGAAGTATTGCAATGGAGGATTCAGAACACAAAAATAAGAGAAAAAGTTCATATAAACATATGTCTGATGACCTTGTTTTCAAGTTACAGCTTGTTTTATTTTTTAACAGAATTAAGATAATTATGGTTACAGGAAGTGCTCAAAATGACTACTTCTAACTTGAATATAAGCTTTAACATGTCTCATCATAGATTGTCTGACTTTTTCAAAAATTCCGGGTATTACTCGAATTTCTCGAGTATCGGGTATATCTCGACGTTGTTAATAGGTGTTTTGTAAACAATGGATTTTAGATGCCCCTACAAGTAATAATCGAGTAGATTCAGGTCTAGAGAGCGAGCTGGCCAGGGAATAGGACCAGCACGGCCTGTCCATCTACCAGGAAACCATTCATCCAAATAAACAAAACAAGCTATAACTTGAAAACAAGATCATATCGGACATATGTTTATATGAACTTTTTCTCTTATTTTTATGTCTGAATTCTCCATTGCAATACTTCCTACTTTTTAGGAAACACCCTGTATGTATATCGGGTGTCCCAAACCACCCGTACATCTCTTTTCTTTCAAAAACTAAGCATTTTAAAGAAAAACATTTTAGACAAAAATTTTATGGTTTTGAGGGCAACATACGATGGTGTCATTGATTTGACCTTTAAAAAAAATGTTAGCTTCAAACCTTTATAACTCAAAGAGTATTCCATGAAAAAATACTTTTTTATAGGATTTTGGAAAGTTGTTGAGATAATCCATAAGAATATGTAATGAAAAATTGGTAGTTCCATTTAAAAAATTGAAATTGACCTTCACGTGACCTTTAAATGACTATTCAAGGTTTTATTTAATTATTTGCATTTATTTAATTATTTTTCGTAGGGGGGTTAAAGGGTTATTGAAATTAAATCTCAAGTATATATGAGATTATTTCAAATTTTAAGTCTTGGTAGTACACCGAGAAGGATACGTACCTTGTGCACGGTTTATTTCCAACGAAAATTAAATTTTCGTTGGAAATATACGCAGCAACATCCGCGTATGGCTCTTTCGGCCTTTATTATTTGTGATTTTTATTGAATATATTACAGAGCCGTGTTTTAATCTTAGTTGTTCATACAATTTTTGTCTAAAACGTTTTTCTTTAAAATGCTTAATTTTTGAAAGAAAAGGGATGTACGGGTGGTCTGGGACACCCGGTATTGTTGTATATATTATATAAATGTATATTTGCATAAAAAATTATAACCAAATATACACACATTTGTAAAATAATTAAAGTAAAATTCTCTTTGCTTGACTATTTTGCAAATAAAAATGTAATTTTTGCCGTTTTTCTGCAGACCATACGGACGAAGAAATTCGTCAAACTGGCGCCATTTAAGCTCCGTTTCTCGAAAATGCTGAAATCGCGGAGTTCCGGCGATAGTCGCAGCAATAGTGTAGAATTTGAGGAACAGCAACGACAAGTTAATCAATCATCACCATCAGATGCAAATGAGTTTACAGATGCATCTGAAGCGGAAACGGACAAAAATTGTTTGTCGATCAGAAATGAACAGATGATACCTAGTTCGCCTCCGCCTTCGTATGAACACGTTCTTGAAGAGGTAAATACTACTCTATATTTTGAATAAAAATCTTGTTAATTAAATAAAAATTTGTTGATTAATTTTTTAATTCAAATTAAATTGTTAAGCAATATATAAAATAGACATTTAATCGGTATTTTTTTATCATTTTTACCATTATGTTTTACCATTATTTAAATGTTGATTGTGCAGACTAAATTGAATTTCATAAATTAATACGCGTAAAAATACGATTAATTTCATATAAAGAACGGATTGAAGAAAATATGCGCTTCATGTCTCTAATTCACGATAACCCGCTGATGGAAATTGCGATACACGGATTAATAATGCAATATAAATTGTAGAGATTCGTGCGATCTATAATTTACGTCATTCGTTATTCGTTTATGCGTTGCATTATGATAAACGATCGTAAATTGTATAACATTATTATTATTATCAGCTGCAATTACTATAAACTACATAGAGAGAATTTTCTCTTAGAATTTGCTCTGGAAATCACGGTAATCGTGGGACAATATGCTATTGGAAAAATTTTATTAGAGTTTCTCTGATTAATATTTATCACATAAAAATATTAATACCTACCACAATATAAAGATATAAAATATATTCGATTAATTTTACTACTTATATGTATAGTATTTACTATGCACATATTTTTAATTGTGGTAAATATTAATCAGAGAAACTCTTATATAATTCTTCCAATACCATATATTGTTTCACGATTATCATGATTTTCAGGGTAAATTCTAAGAGAAAATTCTTTCCGTGTTACAAACTGCACGCAATTAAAGTATTATTGATGCACGTGCAGTATTGCTTTATAATTTCTTATTTATGGAAATTTCAACGTTTGCAATTTCCAAAAATCTTTTTTTTACTTTTACTGTTATTGTATTAAAGAAGTTTTTTGGAAATATGTCTTAATTCTTTCTCAGCCACAAATATATTGTGATTTAGACACGAATGGAATCGTCAGCTATTGCATTACGAGAGACAAAAGAGGAAGGCAAAAAGAAAGGGATTTTCAGTAAAGGAAGGAGCACCGAGAATGCTGAGGCTGATGTTGAGAATGATGATGGCAGTGGCGGTCCTGGAGGTGGAGATAAGAAAGTAGCCAAAACACCCAAGATACTTCACAAATCAAGCAAAGAATTCTACAAAGCAATGGCCAAACAGTGGGGCATAACTTGCAAAATGAGCGATCATTGTAGATGTCTAGATTGTCAGGTATATACGTTTTAAGATAGAGTAAAGAAAATAAATATAAACATAGAGAAATTTTTTGTTTTTCTTTAAATAGATGTGTTCAAAATTGAGCTAAAAAATTTCGTTTATTTTGGGTACCTTCTGAGCCCAGTCATTGAACATACATAATTTTGTAGATAATAATGATAATATTAAAAAAATATAGTTTTGGATCTTCAAACCTTCGCCGCCGGAAGTAGTTTTGACCTTCTAATGGTGTCAATTAATTTCTTTGATGATTTATTATTAGAGCTGTCCAAGATAACAGATATGTCATTGCTGTGCTCAGAAAGTTTTTATATACCTTCTGAAATATATTTAGTATATCCTAAATATCAAATAACCGACATAATATGGAAACAATGCTTACAGTGCGAGCATTTTTACGTCTAAAGTACTTTTACGAGGAGGTCTTGAACGCGAAAAGAAATATTTAGAAAAGGATGAATACAAAAAAATTCGGGAAATTTTAACTAAAAAACAGATTATCAGTTTATTGCAAACATGAAAGTATTGTACAGCATAAATGATCAAATGAATACACTTCATATATCAACAATTAATGATGTTCTAGCATTGACCGGCGGGTATTTGGCACCTATAAATTTTTTTCTCGTGATGCCTTACAATTTGATATATGTTTCGTCTTTATACTCGGAGAACCTAGAAACTCCTATAAAAATGAGCAAAGTTCTTTCGATAGATTAATAATTCATTAAGCTCGTATAATGCAAAACAAAAGATAAAATTAAAATCGGGCCAAATAACGAGCAATAATCTTATGGTTTAGTTAAATCATAATTTATTCAACATCTTTTGACAATTCTTTGTAAAAGAAGTTTCGACTTACTTAGTCTTCTTCAGTACGTTATTAATTTAGTATAAATACAATCATTCCCTCACGAAACAATAAAGTATTATCTAGAAAAACTGCTTAAATTCAAATAATGACACCGAATTACTTGACGATGTTTATTTTGATATCCTCGAAAAATAGTGAACTTATAAGACAAACACTTTGATTATATTTAAAAATTTTGTTGATGATTACTGTCTTGTGAGAAACAGTCAGAGAACGACGAAAAATAGGAAGCTAGTGAATATTGGAATATTTGAAATGGGACTGTTGTGTAGTAATATTTTTGTTGGAAGTTGTAGAAATTTTAAAGAATTGTAAACTATGTTTTTATATAAAAAAATAAATAATTTCAGTAGTTTAACCGCATAGAACAACCAATATTCATAACTATTGTCAACGACTTCTGAGAAGAAAAAGAATCCGACTATAATTTGGTTAATTATGTTGTATCGGTAAGTCAAAACATTTACAAAGAATTGTCAAAAGATGTTGAATAAATTATGTTTTAACTAAACTATAAGATTATTGCTCGTTAGTTGGCCAAATTTGAATTTTTTCTTTTGATACGATTAATTTACAAATTTACTCTATTTCATCCATTATATTGTATCTATATATGCCGTTCATTTTTTGGCGCAATTGTGATTTTTAGTGAGAATTTCAAAGGTACACATTGTGTTATCATAAAATGTAGAGACCTATAATAAGAGACTCGCCAATGACTTCTTACTACGACTTTTGTTCGCCATGTACCCATGCCAGTAAGCAAGAAATATTTAATCAACATTTTATAATGTTGATTTTATATAAATTTTCTAAACGTTATGATATAATGTTTTATATATATATATATATATATATATATATAAATATATGTTTAAAATATTATTAATAAATATTATAAAAAATATTTTAACTAATGTTTTATAAATGTTTTAAAAATATTATTTAATAACATATATTGCTCAAAATATTAATAAAATATTTTAAAAACGTTAATTTCAACATTACCGAAACCTCTAAATTGATGTCAAAGTTTGTTCATAATGATGTTGCATACAATGTTAAAAACTATATACTTGCCAATAAAAATAACGTTGTAGCAATGATTTTTTGCTTACTGAGATATTGATGACGTTATGCACAGATGTCTACATAAAACATATACGATCATATGTCAACAAAACGGGCCTGTTGTAAGGAGTAATCGTAAATAAGTCACTTATTATCTATAAGTATTTCTTATTTTTCTAATTAAATGCAATAATTTTATTATTATTATTAAAAATTTAATAAAAATAATAATACAATAATAATAAATATAATAATAAATCAAATTGAATACTTAAAACGTCGCTAGTGGTATTTAAAATAGGAACGATATATTTAATTTGATCCAAACTAGCCAAAAAAATTTTTATTTTATTTCCACAACGTTTCGACTATCTGTTTTTGGTCCTTTTCAAGTGAAAAACTAGAATGGTACAATTAATTAAAATTAATAAACATTTTTGATGTTAAACGCAAGAATTAAAAATTTTTTACATACTTCCTTGATAAAAGCGCAATTAGTTGACACTGTTGTCATGATTATTAAACAATATGATTATCGGACTTTTTTAAAAACATTTGAAATAACTTTTGAAAGAAAGTAACCCCATCTTATCGTTATGATGGATCGTCAAAAAACTGAGTATATAAAATTTTATACGACTTTTATAATTTTGTCATAGATGTTGTTTAAATTCTCTGTGTCTTTATGTAGGTTAACTGTATTATTAACTTTTTTGATAAAAAACATCTCTGCGATTTCTCTCTTTCTAACATGTTTTTCATTATGTAATATAACGGGTGATACCCAATCAAATTCATGTCCCAACTCTTGTCTATGTTTGCTTATGACCGAATGATTTGTTACATGTAATTTTATATTGTTAGAATGTTCTTTCATACGAGTACGCAAATGTCTTTTTGTTTGACCGATATATGAGGAATCACAATTTTTACAGTCAATTTTATACACAACATTAGTTCTATCGTCGTTAGGTAATCTATCTTTGCCTCGTTTTATTAATATGTCCAATTTTTTGGCTGTTTTATAGACTGCACTAAAGCCAGTATTTTTCAATGAACGACCGATATTCTTGCTAACATTTTTGACATACGGCAATGAAATATAAGGAGACTTGTTTTCTCGCACTTCATAAGTCTCATTTGTAACATTATTACTATTATTATTTTTTAGATAATTAATTCTTTTACTTATATGTCGTTTAATAATATGTGTTGGAAAGCAATTGTTCATTAAAGTCTGCTGTACTATATTAATATTCTTATTATGAAATTTATCATCTAATAGTAAAATGGCATGATCTATGAGATTGTAAATGGTGTTGATTTTGTATTTTAACGGATGATTGGAGTAAAAGTTTATATATCTTCCGGACCAGGTGGGTTTTCTGTACCAATTCGTAATAAGCTTTTTATCATTGCGAGTGACACTAGTGTTCAAGAAATTAATTACAGAATTATTTTCTATTTCGTATGTAAATTTCAATCTTTGATAATAATTCTTAAAAATTGATAACATCTCGTCTATTTTTTTACGTGGCAAAATTGCAAAGACGTCATCAACATATCTATAATATACAAGTACATCAACGTTTAATAAACACAACTACATAAAGACACAGAGAATTTAAACAACATCTATGACAAAATTATAAAGGTCGTATAAAATTTTATATACTCAGTTTTTGGACGATCCATCATAACGATAAGATGCGGTTACTTTCTTTCAAAAGTTCTTTCAAAATATTTTAAATATATATTTTAAATGTTTTTATAAAAGTCCGATAATCATATTGTTTAATAATCATAACAACAGTGTCAACTAATTGCGCTTTTATCAAGGAAGTATGTAAACAATTTTAATTCTTGCGTTTAACATCAAAAATGTTTATTAATTTTAATTAATTGTACCATTCTAGTTTTTCACTTGAAAAGGACCAAAAACAGATAGTCGAAACGTTGTGAAAATAAAATAAAAATTTTCTTGGCTAGTTTGGGTCGAATTAAATATATCGTTCCTATAATAATAAATATAATAATAATAATAAAATTATAATAAAATAATTTCTGACTACAATCATAACCTCAGCATGGAGCAGATAATTTTGTCTAGCGCGGGTACGCAATGGCGGACAAACCATGTGATTCACACTGATTAATCATGGATATGTACGGTTATAGCGTATCTCTTATTATAGGTTTCTAATAAAATTTCCTGTTTCAGAGCCATTACTTCGACTGCGATTATGAAAAAGACGAACAAGAGAAGGGTGACGGTGGCCTCAGCGCCGGTACACCAATGTTCATCTCCGAAGTGATGCACGGCACTGCCTGTGCTCTCCTGTAAACCGCCGTTTCTTCCGGTTCCGCTTTTTTTCTCAACGGGCCAGATATCTACCTGATTATAACACGCACAAAATGGCAATCGGCGCCTAAATACGATGAAGAAACAACTTCGACGAGAACTTGTGTCACAAACATGCATAATGCATTTATATATATTTTATTATATATACATATATAATATTTAATGCCGTGCGAAGAGAAAAAGAGATACATCTCGGCACATTTCAACGTAGAAAAAGAAAGTTACTCGCGAGCGCGTGCGCGATGAAATACACGAGCTTCGTATGCCTCTCTGGCATGGATTATTTTAATGAATTATTTTAAGATTAGACAAGCTATTAAAAAATTGGATGCATATCCAATTTGCATCTAGACAGATTAAATTTTGTGAAATTTTTTGTACGGCTCTTATGCGAAAAAAGAAACTGAGTTTCGTTTTATTATAATATAGTATACACATATAGAATAGAAAAACATATACAGTTAAATATAATGCGATAGTTTTGAACAATTCACTGCAGCAAAACTTGAATGACAAATTAATTATGTTCTGCTATAAAAACTTTCCAGTATATTCTTCTTTATCGTAACATTTTTGCATTTTTTAGACCCGGAAATTAAATTATTAAAATTATTTATTCTAACGCGTTCAAAAATCTTTTTTTTTATTTTCCTAGCACTCAACATATAAACTGTGCGTGTAACTGTCTATAATTGTACCGCATACATTGCAGAAAATCACATTGACTATTTGTAAAAATGTGACGTTTGCAAAATTATTCTCAATATTTCTGACAACCACGTTGGTATTCTCAACGCGAGTTATTTATTTTTATTGCGACTGCCTTGTAAAGACTATATAAAGAGAGCACGTTGATTGATGTGCGCTTTATTACTGTCAATTGCGTTGCGCTCATTCAATTGAATTTTTACAATAGAGCTATAATGAACGTGGAAGAATAGACACGATGCTTTGATCGCTTTAATATTATTACGTTCCGAACTGTCATTATTTGAAAGTTTGATGATGATATATAATATATTTCTAATTTCTAATTTCTAATTTTGCAATATACATATATACTTCTGCAATACTTGGATGCATTTTTGTTTGGTTTGAAGATACAAGAAAATGCAAACAATTCTACTTACAATTAAGTAATTTTGAAAAATTATGACAATTTTATTTACCTTTATTCAAATATATGCTCTATGATTGGCATTAATGTTTTGTTAGCATATTATATGACATGATATATAAAAAGATTTATATAAGAATATTAAAAATGTATAAAGTAGTTTGCGTATAGACATAGTCTGCACATGCGCGCAATATGCTAGCTTCATAATTGGTCAATGTATTGGCACATATTAGGGATATTACACACACACCCACTCACCCACACACACACACACACAAATGTATATACATATATACACATATATATATATATATATATATATATATATATATATATATACATATATATATATATTACAATTTTGGTTATAAAATTTATCTTACATTAAAATTGCTTCAAAACCGGATTATATGCTTGAATTATATACAAATTTTGTACTTTTATTATATTATGCATTATATCTGTAACAAAAAAATTATGTTAATGGCTTTACAAATCACTTGATATGACATTAAACACATCTGCATAAAAAAATTGAAACATATAATTTATAATATAATAATCGACCTATTTATTGATGCTTATTTTTCGATAATTTTTAGAGGTATTCGTTCAGAGTAGGACATTTTAGAATATTTTTTTAAGAAGAAAGTTTTGTCTGTACATATATTATTATATATATCAAGATTAATGTATATGTACATATTTAGCAAGTCATTTAAATGAAAACGAGCCAAAAGATAGCAAAATGCTGAACTGTATTTTGCTATGTCGTTTAATTCGTTTTCATTTGAAGAACATAACATATATTTAAAATTTTATATTTTACATACTTATAAAAATGTTTTATTATACGCGATACGTGATACATTTGGTTTGTATTATGTTATGCGAATGCTTGAAAGTTTATCATCAAAGAGCGTTTTTTCACACATATACATACATACACATACACACATATTAGTATTCGCGCCGAAAAGAATTTAATTCTTTGTAAGGTTCTTCTTATTGTTAGAGAAAACGAATGTTAAGGTTCCTGAGCCTTCGCCAACCATGTTGGAATTGTGATGTCAGAAGCGAGAAAACAAATGATAAAGATTCTTGCGTGTCACTTTTAGATAAAAAGATATCTCGGTAAAACATTAGTTTAGATGGCTTTAACATACTTTCACAATAGTCCATAAACTTTTTCCCTTTATAATCAATCTTTTTCCCTTTATAATCAATCAGTTGTAAAATGATTATAAAATAAGGTCTAATCCGTATAGTTTTGCACATGAATAGTCATTTAGTATGACAAAGTCTGATATTACAATTATTTTACGATTGTTAATTGTCAAGTGAAAAAAGTAATTTTTGGACTATTTTAAAAATATGCTAAAGCTATCTGAAGTTGGGTGTCAAAATATCTTTTTATCTAAAAATGGCACTCAAGAATTTTCAGCGTCTCTTACGTCACAATAGATCTGTTTGTTTTGACTACACTGGCTACACTAGTTCAGAGGTTGTCTTTTTTTCTCGATGTTGGAAGGAAAAAGATAACCTCTGAACTAGTGTAGCCAGTGTAGCCAAAACGAACAGACCTAGTATATCCAACATAACCGCGGCGAGTATACAAGAGTCTTAAAGAGCGCAAAAATTTCTTACCTCTTACCCAGAAGAGAATAGGAAGTTAAATGACTAAAAATTCTAAAACTAGTGATTTTTTTCAGTGACGTATTATATGTTCGAGAAAATCGAAACTCATGAAACACATGAAAGTATTTTAGATCAAGCCCACGAATGAGGCCACAATGTTAATGTAAATCCATGACGGGCAAAGTAGTGAGTAATCGAATAATTACAACAAAATATAATACAGTACCTGTCTATTTTTGTTTTATTAAAAATCATTTCTTTTAAATTTTATAGCAAAAGGAAGACATTTGTGCTATTGTAGCAGTTCTGCAGTTTTTAAATACATGACATTGCCGTACAATTATTTTTTATACAGCATATTATTTCTAAAATACTTATGTATTTTGATTATAATTTTTTAAACCTTAATATTTAAAACCGACATAAATATTTATTGTAAATTATATAAAAAATGGTAATGATTTAATCGACCAACTCTGACAAAAAGAAATTTTATTAAATTTTACAACGTTTTGGCCGTGGGTTTCGGCCCTTATCAAGTGCTGTGTTCTTAAAACAATATAAATTACAAACTTTTTTTAAAAACAATAATTCGATCTTAGAATATAGCATGATGTAATAGTATGAAAACGAAATAACTAGTTATTACTGAAACGTTGTAAAATTTAATAAAATTTTTTGTGCAACCGGCGCGCGAAAAGTCGCCCTTTACGCATATGATGGAATTTTAGAAAGAGCTCCCTTTCCACGTACCGGTCACACAAAATATCGTAGCCAACATGTGCAAGTCGTAAATCGGCCGAGAGTGCGGAAGTTTGGCGCACGAAGCGAAGCCGAGTGTGACAATCCGCACTCTCGGCCGATTTACGACTTGCACATGTTGGCTACGATATTTTGTGTGACCGGTCGTAAATCGGCCGAGAGTGCGGATTGTCACACTCGGCTTCGCTTCGTGCGCCAAACTTCCGCACTCTCGGCCGATTTACGATCCCCCGCACTTGTTAGCTAATATACTATTTTTGCCAGAGTTGGTTGATTAAATCATTACCATTTTTTAATTATCGTCTGGTGACCTTGCAGTTTTATATTGTTATATAAGTACGTATGCGAGAGCATGTTTTTCTCTAAAGAGAGTCTATTGTGTTTTAAAATAAGTTTGAAATATTAAAAAAACAATGAATTAATTTTATACGTTACTAATTATTTTTTCAGAAATATGTTATATATAGATTATTTATTATTTATAATTAACAATAAAAAAAAATAAAATAGAATTGGGAAAGAAGAAAATTATATGATAAGAGGTATTTAAAACATTTTACGAAGAGAAATATCTGAGAAGTACATATAATGACATGTTCTATATTGCATATTTTTCCTTTAATTGCCAAATACTTGCAGCTTATTTTACAGTAAATTTTACAATAGATTTAGTATAATTTTTGTTGTAATAATAAATCATCTGTTAACTTTGTTTATTAATCTGAATAAATAAATATTATCTATTGACACAATTTATAATATTTCAATGAAAATATTTGTTTTTATGGAACAATATCAGTTATGTGAATTTCTTCTAATGTAGATGCAAATGATTTTATGATAAGGCAATAATTCTTTGTTTGAAAAGTTGAAACGCAGACGAAATATTCGGAGTTATTGCACGCCGTTTGTTAACTTATTTATAATTTAAGTATACTCTCTCTCTCTCTCTCTCTCTCTCTCTCTCTCTCTTTCTCTTTCTCTCTCTCTTTCTTATACGTGCGTGTGTGCGTATGTGTGTATGCGCGTGCGTGCGTATGTGCGCATACGTATGTATATAGAGACAAATTAAAACATAAATAAAAGAGTATGTGCAATCTCTGAGATACAAGAAAAATAGTAATTCCATTAAAACTCGAGGAAAATCGAAGTGACTGCTTATGACTTATAATGAGAGCTTCCGATTAGCCTTATTGCTGAACATAGTTATTCATTACCCTATGTAGAGTGTCTCGGAGTAACTGACAAATTACGAGAGCATATTGTCGGTTACATCCCGGGACATCCTGTAAAATAGCTTAACAATTGCATAGACAAATCATTAATTATTTTTTTAATCTGGGAATATTACTCTTGCGAGATTTATAAATTATTTTTAACATTCTAAAAATAATGTGTACGTTATGTTGTGTAATTATATGTCTCCTATATATTATATGGAGCATTATTTATAAAGTAATTCACCCAAATTTTCAAAGTTTTCCAATAACGCTAAAATTTATAGAAAGTGTAGTCCTATCAAAAGTAAAATTATTCCTCAAGTCGTTTGGTCTACGTCCTATGGGTCCTTTGTTAACAGGAACTTGAATTTTTATTATTTGGGCCGTTGCGTCCAACTTCAAATGTTCATAAATTTCAGAAGACTACTTCGATTTTAAAAAATAAGGTGTGGTTTCAAAAGGTCTTTTTACGTACTTTAATCCTGTCAAATTAGTTCTTCTTTCAATAGCAATTTAAATAAAATTTTCAAGAAACAAAGTAAAATTCAATCATTTCTCAAATTTAGACATCTTCGATTTTCTTTAAAAAAATTTTTTTTAAAGTAGAAATCTTTCCCTTTAAAATGCTTCAAGGGCCAAGATGGGCAGGTTTTCAGATATAGTCCATTTTAGAACTAAGTGCGTCACTTACGATGTAGTTCGGGCGCTGTTACAAATGCAAAAGTATCTGATAAATTAACCGAAAAGAGAGGATAGAGGGGATAAAAAAAATGTTAAAAAGAAACAGAATAAGGTCTAAAAAACAGGAACGTTTATTTTTCAACAATAAATAATATCGTTTTTGCTAAAAGAGAATTAGAAAATATTTAAAAAAATACAAAGTTTAAAAGCAAAGGTAAGTTAATTGATATAATAAACGTTCCTACTTTTTAAACCTTATTTAGTTTTTTTTTTAACAATTTATTTTTACTCCTCTAAGCTCTCTTTTCGGTTAACTAATCAGATACTTTGTAAGTATGTATATATACATATATATATATATATATATATATATATATATATAATATATGAGAAGTTATTATGCCTGGCCACAAGCAATAGAACTGGCCAGATATCTTTCTGTATTTGTATCATCGTCCAAACTGTGTTGTAAATGATGCGCTTGGTTTTAAAATGGACTGTATCTTGAAAACTAAAAGCCTGCCCATCTTACAATTAGTCCTGGAAGCATTTTAAAGGGAAAGGTTTCTACTTTTTTTAAGATTTTTTGAAGAAAATTAAAGATGTCTAAATTTGAAAAAAATTGATTTTTTTTTGTTTTTTTGAAAATCTTATCTAAATTACTATTAAAAGAAAAAATTAATTTGACAGGATTAAAGTATCTAAAAAACCTTTCAAAACCACACTTTATTTTTTAAAATCGGAATAGTTTTCTGAAATTTATCAACATTTGAAGTTGGACACAACGGTCCAAATGATAAAAATTCAAGTCCCTGTTAGCAAAAACCCGTAGAACATGGGCCAAACAACTTGAGGAATAATTTTACTTTTGATACTACACTTTTGATGACTACGCACTTTCTGCAAATTTTAGCGTTATTGTAAAACTTTGAAAATTTGGGTGGATTATTTCATAAATGCCACATATACATCTGAGAAATAAAA